TTAACCTACGAGTCAAATCGTGAATGTCAAGTGGTTTTTGGTATGAAATAAAAAAATTATAGGTGAATTGTTATCAAAATAATTATCACAAGAGCAATTTTTAAGAGTTCAAATTTTTAATTTTAAGAATAGTTGATTCATTTATAAATTAAAGGTTAAATTTTGGTGGAAAAAGAGAGACAATAATTAAATTGTTAGTAATAATTAGTGAGAGATAATTAAAAACTATGGAATACATTTTAAGAAAAAAAGAAAGAGAGAGACAACAAAGTAATACTCCTCTGTCTTTATCCCAATCGGATCCTTTCTTTTGGCTTTCTACACAAATTTTAAAAAAGTCATTAATTGTTATTCTATATCAACATTTTTTTGTTTATATTTTGCTATAAAGTCGTTTTTGTTAAAATTGCTAGTGATCAAATATAATCCTACATTACATGAAATCAACATTAATTTAAAAGAAAATCTATTCAAAATTAAGATGGTAAACCAAAGAAAAAATTATTAAGTTAACTAATGATCAAATTTAAAACAATTATGAAAAAATAATATACTAATGGGAATATCTTACTTCTAAAATTTTAGTATGCAATAAAGTCTTTAAAAATAATGAATATTTTAATATAACAAAAAAAAATCTTTAAAATTTTTATATTCAAAGTGTTTGTATATATTGTCAATTATAGAGAAAATAGAGAGAATGTGAACTCGAAGCTTGTCCTCGTCTTGTTCTAGGAGTCTCCTTATATACAAAGAGGTAAGTCTATGGAAAAGGAAGTTACTAAATTATAGAACTTAATTTACTCCCTAAATAATAGTAGTTAGCATACTAATTTACAGACTAATATGATTTACTGATTTAGGCTCTAATTGTTGTAATATAGTTGTCATCATAACTCGTCACCATAATTCTTGCAAGTTATCTAATATATATAAGAAAAAAATATAAAGAATTTTGATTTTCTTTTTAAGTGAAGAACAAAGAAATATTTTTTTAATCAATTAAAGGTATTTTAGAAAAAAATGTATTATTTAATTTTTTTTACTATTTGGAACATATACAAATAAAAAGAAGACAAACTTTTTGAGGTCGAGAAAGTAATATAGACTGGAGAGCAATGGATACCTCCATGTTTACCCTCTAAATACGGACAAGTGCACGCACACACACATCAAACAACCATAAACTTGACCCTTGTAAAGCCTAACCCCTTTTAACCTCCTATTAAACGTCTTTTGTCGGTAGTAACTAGTTGTCTACCCTTGCTAAACTATGGATTGTGGAGAACATGTGAAATTATTTGAAAAAATAATTTTAATTTAATAGGTTGTATTATATTGAAAGTCTACTAAAATATTGAATTAAAGGTAAAACAAAATCATCAAATTTCATAATTTATTCTTTCTTATTTTTTCAAAAATGTTGCGGTTAAAAAACACGATTTGTTATTTTTTATGTATTGATTTTTAAATAAGAGCTTGCAATAATCTAAATAGAATATTTAATCCAAAAATTTAAAAGATGCCTTAATATTTTTTCATATGATTGCATAAGAAGAAGAAGAAGAAGAAATAATTAATATAAAAACTTATATAAAAATTAAAAAATGAACATTTTTTTTATTCTTATTTAATTTTGGTGAGAAAATTCTATTTTAAAAAATATATTCATTTGATTTATATATATTTATTCACAAAAAAATCAATAATATTAATATACAAATCTGTATTTGAATCATTGGATGGTTCTCCAAAAATATTGTTTAATTATTTTATTTTAAAGAAATTGATTTTTAATATTTTAAAAAATCAATAACATCTTATTGATATTATGTGTGTCGATATATAGTTAATTTCTAATAAAACCAATTATCTTAGTTTTGTTTACATACATCACCGATCATACTTAGTGGGTTAAGAACAAACAACATAAATAAATAAATATTTTAAAATAAATAAATTACGAGGAATATATTAAAGTTATTAAACTGAAATAAAAAACTACAAAATTAATTTTGATAAATTTAAATTATACACAAAAAAATAAGACACGTGAATTTTATTTTTTAATTGATTTTTTAAAAAGATTCGGGATAAATAATCTAAAACATACTTTTAACTTTTTTAACACTCTCGTTTAAAACTCTCTCTATATATAATTAAATAATAATATCTTAAAATTTTATTAAAAAATTCATAGATAGAGAAAAATAAATTATATTTATTAATAAATAAAATTATATAAGAAACATAAAATTAATTTTATGAAAATTTAAATAAAAAATTAATTTTAAACAATAAGAGTAATATAATTTGATATATATGTTCATTAAACAAATAATTATATTAAAAAAATCCATACATATAGAAAAATAAATAATATTTTTTAATAAATAATATCATATAAAAAATAAAAAAATTAATTTTATGAGAATTTTCATAAGAAATAAAAAATAAAAAATCAAATTTAAACAATAAGAGTAATATAATCGATAAGAAATGAAAATTAAAAAAAATCAATTTTAAACAATAAGAGTAATATGATTTGATATATATGTTAACTCTAAATTCTGAAAGCAAATCATATATATTTTGTCACCGTCGACTCGCATAGAAGAAAATAACGATTGATTTTTTTATAATTTTTGCACCCAATTCGATAATAAAAAAAATTGGTGAAAAAAGCAAAAAAAAAAAAAAAGCATTTCAATGCATGCGTACACACACACATATTAAATCGAACCCCCCTCTCTTTTTTTTTTTTGTTTCGGTCTACCTATTTCAATTATTTTATTGCTCAAAACCACCACGAGCACGGTTTTTTACTAAGATAAATAATATAAATGCAAGATTGGTCTTAAAAGAAACCAAAATTGGAGCCGATCGTGGCTTTGTCTCTCCATATTTAGGATTTAAATTGCAAAATAAATAAATTTAAAGATTAAAATAAAAATTAAAAAAAAAAACAAGAACCAAAATGCAATATAAAAAAAATATGAATATAAATATCTCAATACACCTTAAAAATCACAAAAATATCATTTTACAGTACATATGAGTTAAAATAAATAGTATTCTATGAATGTGTAAATATTGTACTAAATATTCAAAATCTTTTAGTTTGTTTTACTAGTTAAATACCTGCGCTACGCTGTGACCAAACAACCATTACATAGCAGGGTTAACAATTCGTATGGTGCGAGTGCGAATAGAAGTTTTATTTTTGCGGATTAATGTAAATCAAATCCATATATTAAGTAAAATTGTTTGATTTATATAAATATTTATTAACAAAATATTTAATAATATTAGCATAAAAATTTGCATTTAAATAATTGTGAGGTTCTTTCAAAACATTATCTATCTTATTTTATTAAAAAAATAAACTTTAGAATATGAAAAAATAAATAACAAATAATTGATATTATATGTGCAGATATATAGTTAATTTTTAACAAAATATATATATATATATATATTTTTTGCTGGGAATTCGCTTGATGATTGTTGGGAATTCTGAGAAAATATAAGAAGCTTGCACGTGTGAAGTAATAAGTGAATACACGTGAGAAGTTAGTTAGTTGTCGTACGTGTAAATCAATTAGTTAGAGTTTGTCAGGAGAGAGAAAAACGGGTACTGTTTAAATCAAGAGGAGGAACATGTGAGAAGGCGGATTTTTGGCATTTGAACCTTCCTCTGTTTTCTCTCTGTATTTCTTCTCTCCTTTCTGTTTTCCATCTGATTTTTGTAATTCTAAACCTTTTTTTTTATTGTTACAACTCAACTGTTCTTCCATTTGATTGAATACATACTGATTTTCCTTTGAATTACCATAGAACTAGTCAATTCATCTCATTGTTCTTAGTTTGGAAATTTGGAACGTATCAGAAGCACATTAAACTCAACAAAAAAAATAAAATAAAATCCTGACCATAGTTAATTTATTGGAGGGTGTTATGCTGGTATTGAATTTTGGCATCTCTGTTTGAAGCATTTTATTGGATCATTAGTCGATATCATCATGTTTTGGATCAATCAAAGGAAAAAGAGGCAAGTCTATACTGAAACTCCCTAGCCACATTTTAGAGCTGATCCTGCAGAAATTAAGCACACGCGAATTCATGAGATTTGGTGCTGTCTGCGCAACATGGAGACATATTGCTAAGGCCCTAGTTCCTTATAGATTAATTCTCTTGATGTATCGGTACATTGCATTACCTTTTTTTTATTTTTTTCGTGGTATCAGCAATAAGTCTTAGGTCAGACCATAAAGAGGAGCAATGGCCGTCTAATAGCAAATTGCCTTTCTATGATGTAACCTAGAGCGTATGAAAAAGACCGTGGGCACATGGAGAAGATATCGCATCTATGGTCGAAAATTATAGAAAGATATATTTAAAAAGCAAGCACTTCAGAAGCACATGACAAATGTATCAAATAACACTCAAAATGTCAAACCAAATCCAAGATACATTTCACATTCGGGGTATAATATTCTCCCAAAAGCTAAAAGGTTAGAAAAATACAGGAGAATTACAACTCAAAATACAAAACAAGTAAGAGAAAGAGAGGGAGATGGGGGTGGTAGTAGGTGGTCCTACCCTCCTTCAACGAAGTATCTTACACAGCCTGTTAAAGAAAAATACCCTCAAATAATGCAAGTATGATAGGCCACATGGAATGAAAAGTAACTGACACCCCACACATGCCATTGCCTCCCAATTGCACATGCTACCTGTCTCCCCCACGACAACACTATGCCAACCTTTCTTCTCTCTAATCTATTTCATCACACTCAAACTGTCATTAGAAACAAATTTAAAAGAAAAAATCTCACAGCATCTCACAAAGTCACAAGTAACAAACCCTTGTAGTTTTTCTTCCTGTCTAATATTATACTCAACCATTCCAAGTTAGAAAATGAGCTTAACTACATATGAATTTTAGCATACATTCTTATGTCTTGTTAATATTTCCCCCTTTTAATGTCAATTTGAGTCTATTGATCAGTTTGTGCCTCGGTAGGCCTGCGGGCTGCCATTAAGGTGCATGGAAGGTGCCTATGGCAGGTGATCAAGTGGTCGTTGGTTAACCCTGCTGCTTGCATGAACGAATGAACCATCGTCGGACCAACAAACCTAAACCCCCTCCTAACCATATCTTTGCTTATAGTTTCTGATTTTGATGTCTTCACTGGAATCTTGTGCCCAAATTTGTATTGGGTGGAGATAGCCTTGTTATTGACAAATGTCCATACATATCTATCAAATGATCCGAACTCCTTTTTGATCTGTAATGACACAAAGTTTATTACAGGAAACATTAGCAACCCCATGGTGTTTACTAATCCAGAATATCAATTTTCAAATAAAACAAGGTCTAATTAAAAAACAATGGGGCCCTTGTTGCATGGTTATTAACAGAAAATGTGGGTACCCCATGAGTTTAAAATCAGGAAAAGGTTGGATCTTGCTTGCCAACTACTTTCACCAAATAAGAGAGGAAAAAGGGAAGACTAATTAACAAGCTGTTGACGTTAATCAAGTTATTGCATCTTTTCTAAATGATGAACCCTTAAACATGTTCTTTTTAAACCGAATAAAAGGTCCTTTTGAGGTTTGAATAATGCAAGATTACGTTTTTTATATGCAACAGGAATGCCATGAAAAGGAGGACTGGAGCGGACTGTGAAAATAAAAAAACATGATAAAAGACAAACGACTTGCGAATTTTGATGCTAGATTAGTTAGTTACCTCAAGCATTCTGTTAGAGTTGTCCACAACACCTCGAACTCGGCTAATCTCAATCCCATATTCTGCACTGATTGACATCATTTGTTTTTCAGTAATGCTGGTCACAATTTCTGCATCAAATCCTGAAAACGCATCTCTGCAGAAGAGAAAACATTAGCTTTTGCTAATTTTAAGAAACAACAAGACAAAGTAATTCAGTGTCTTTTTAAAAAATAAGCAACCTGAAATCTTGACGTTTCTTCAAGATTGAAGTCCAATCTGAACCAACCTGGGCGCCACTTAGAACTAACAATTCAAATAACATCCTGCAAGACATTTAGGAATGTTAAAAAAAAATTTTCTTTTGCAATTGAATGAGACAAGAAATAAAAGAGACAGAGACCAAGACAGAGTCTTTACTTGTCATCGTGGACCGGAACTCCCCATTCTTCATCATGGTAAGCAACATAGATAGGATCTAGGCACAAAAACATTGAAAGTTTGGAACATGACCAGTGGATGACTTGTAACAAATCCAGAATTACTTTCACCAAATTTTACTGCAGGAACCAAACAAACAATTGGCCAACTTCATTTAATTTTTTCCCTTACCTGAATTTGCTGTGATAAAACTGCATCTCTTTTCTTCTTCATCAGGCTTTGTTGTCACACTGATTGAAGAATCAACAGGAACAACTGTATCTTCAAACCTGGCAGACTTTGATCTTCCATAATGAGCAATTCTCATCTTTCTTTGTGCATGTTGGAGTGCCATTTGTTCTCTCCTGACCGCGGCAATGCTTCCTGGTGCCTCAACAATCAACGAAGACGAATAAGTCACTGATGCCTCAGTAGAAGAAGAAAGCACTCCACCCCCAACACTGCTTTCCTTGAAACTTTTTGACTTCTTTCTCTCTAAAGTTGGTTTCTTTGTAGTGCTTCTTGGGATCACGACCTTCTCAGAACTTGAATTCAAGCTATTGGCATCACTTCCTCTCTTAATAGCTGGTAATCTTGGAGACTTCGACTTAGGGGATAAAGGAGGTGAGGCCTTGTTGGTTTTACTAGCAAAAGTTGGTGGAGGTAGTGGTGGTGGTGGTGGAGGAAGAGACTTTGGTTCTGTTTTCTTCAGAGAATTACGCCTTTCGAGCGTAGGAACACGATTACATGTAGGTTGAAGGACCGGTCGGCCGTTGATCCTAGCCACTGCTGGTGTTACCTCAACTCCTGTGGTCACCTTAGCCTTAGAGCTGCACATTGTCGATGAAAATATGTGTTATGGGGATTTTCACCTAAGTTAATGTGTAAAGTGTAAGTGATACGTGACAAGAAAGAAGGTTTATGAAAGAATGGAACAAAAGAGGGATGGCTAATGAAGGAGGGAAAGGAAGAGTTGATGAGAGATTGAAGGAGGGGAAGGGGAGGGATGTAAGGTTATATAAAAGGGAAAGTGGGGACATATAAAGTGTAAGTTGTAACATGGAGAGGTTGGGGTCTGCCATACAAACTCTTGTGAAGGGCATTACTTTTTGTTAACTAGACCACGAGGGGTGACCACCACACGCATCATACTTTGGCCAATTGAAATTGATTAATTAATCTTCCTGTTAATTGTTATCATTGCTGTTATTTTATAGTGAAATTGAGTTATTGTTAGAGAGGGAGATAGAATCAAGAGACTGTTAAAGGGGGATTTGTTAGTTGAGATGGTATCCAAAATATACAGAAATGTTTTTCCTTGGAACTCCCCCTAGTGCCACTTTGTTGGTGATGCATAAATGGATATATATGACTCTCACACATCCCAGGATATCAGGCTGGAGTGGTGGATAAGGAAGGTAACAATGCAAGAAAAAGACCAATCATTGATCGATTCTTTTTAGCTGGAGAGAATCTCTCTCTCTTGCTCACCTTGTTTTGGTGGGTGAATATTGGAAGGTAACATGCAATATTTTCTTGAGTTCTGTAAGCACAAAATCATAAACTTTAGTGGTGACCACAAATTAAGAACCTGTTAGAGGTTGAATTTGGTTATGGTTTAGCCATTGCAGCCAATCAAAAACAAAAAGGATTAGAAATCCATACAAGACCTTTATGAGATTAACATAACAATATATAGCTCGCATGTTTTCTTGCAAATTCTTGAAATCGCTTGTCATTTATATACTTTCCAGACCAATTGAACTGCATTTGTTTCCCTTTAGGAAGCCTAGATCATCAGTCTATCGGTGTAGCGCAAATAATATTTGCCAACATAAGAAGCAACTATAATGCGAAACCCACTTTCCCTTCTTTCTTTTTTTCCTTCTTATTTTTCACATTTTACAAGGATTACTGCAACTGCTGAACTCCTGAAACTCCTGCAAGCTGCAAGCCACTAGCCCAGTAGATCACTTACTAGGTTGGTCATGATGTAGATTGCAACAACTTTCTACAATTCCCCATCTGCAAATTTTCCTGATGATTTTTTCTCCGAACCTTCATAAATCTATAGATTGCAAAATTTTTAGGTGGAACTTCACATGCATTTCTCGGTTAACTTACATTCTTATGAGATTGTAAATAAGGCATCTACTACCACTTCATGCATGGAGCAAGATATCATGGTAAAACTACTATCATTGATAGAAGCAGTAATTGTTGAAAATTTCTTTATTGATAGCAGCTGATAAGTCATTCTATTAGGTCACTTTGGTATCTAACTGAAATTGATTACTTTTATGTTCTCTATAATCATCAAATTTTGATTGCCTCAAAGATAATGGGTTCTTCACTAACTTCTCAATGACTACTTGGATCCTTTAGTTTCATGCGAGGTGGAAAGTGGACCCTCAACTGAGCTCTTCTGCTCAGAATACTGTTACAAAGTCACAAGGCTGGAAACCTTACTTGCAAGTTATACTATTTCCTAAAGAAAGAAATGAGTACAGATAACTCTACTCTTAACTTTTGTCTACCCAAAATTTCTGTAACCTCAACCTTCAACCATTAGATTGCCAGAAATATTTTACAGCTCACAAGAGAGTGAAACATATTAGTTTCGGGATATGTTTAATTGATATATTACTTTATTATCTCATATTCTACCAGTTGATGAGAACAGGTTGAAAATTCATTTTCAGATTTAATGGGAATCTTTTCATTAATTAAGATGATCCTACTCTCAAATTGGTGGACGGCCAAACTCGTTACATATATAACATTGTTAAATCACAGATAGTTCTTTTCATTTTTTAAAAATCACGGCAAGTTCGTCTGCTCTGTTATTAGTCCAATTTTGACGTGTCCTTTACTCTGTTCTTTGCAAAGATTACATGTAACAAATTCTATGAATTTATCCCTTGTCCCTTCCGAGACTCTTATAAGATTGCAATGACAAGTTCTGTGAACTCTTACCTACTTACTTTGTTTTTGTTTCTCCCATAACGTTCCAAAATTCCAACAGTTTATTCATGATTTAACGATTTTAAGTGCAATGAACATAAAAAAGATGCTGTATCTCGACACCACCCCCCGAGAATAATGCTTCATCTAATCCAATTAAACTCGTTACATATATACATTGTTAAATCACAGATAGTTCTTTTCATTTTTAAAAAATCACGGCAAGTTCGTCTGCTCTGTTATTAGACCAATTTTGACGTGTCCTTTACTCTGTTCTTTGCAAAGATTACATGTAACAAATTCTATGAATTTATCCCTTGTCCCTTCCGAGACTCTTATAAGATTGCAATGACAAGTTCTGTGAACTCTTACCTACTTACTTTGTTTTTGTTTCTCCCATAACGTTCCAAAATTCATACGTTCTGTGAAATCTTTGCAAAGATTTAACTATTTTTAAGTGCAATGAACATAAAAAAGATGCTGTATCTTTTTTTTCCCAGAATAATGCTCCATCTAATCCAATGACAGTAATAATTAATTTTTTATTTTTTTTCTATGACAAGGATTTTTTTGGATACGTTTAAGTCGATATTAATTTTTTTTTCACACGATATTAAAAAAACACCACTATACATGAATATGATGCATTCATACAAATTAATAAGTTATCTTAATTCCTAATCTTTCAATATTTGAATATAAAGAATCAAGGGAAAAAAACAAACATTTTTAACAATCAACTTAGTCCCTTAAAGATATTATTATTCTTCAATTGTTGATTGATTGATAGCTATAACTATTTTACACAAAGAAAATATGCTACATGCAAAAAAGAGTTGCCACTGACCAACAATGCATGTGAGAGATTGCATTTCTACTGTTCAGTCAGGTAAACCCTTTTCTTTAAAAGCATGGGCAAACATTCGTGGCATCTTACCTTTTTATATTTTCTTTCTGTAATTAATTTATATTCTCCATTTTCACTTTCATGGTGGCTTGGTACATTCGCTGATCAATGATCACCGACCACCACATGATTTTCGCGTGATGAATGATTGAGGAGCTCAAGAGGCAACACCACGTTTTCCTGATTAGATTGAACGATCTTTTTAAGTTTTGGAATTATTTCACTGATAATATTATTCGTGATTATATTTTGATAATTCTAGCTATCACACTAGACAGACAACCCATGTGATATAACCGACATTTTATGGTTATAATCAATAATTAGAGCCAATATTCGGACAGAACTAAGGCAAAATCATGCCACTATAATTAATTTGTAATATCAACCTACTTGTGCACACGTCTTCGATCTTGTTACTTCTATTGTTATTTTCTTTTTATCAAACACGCATGATCCTCATTTCCTCCTTTCCTAGAGGTTTCTAATCCGAAAACAATAACTTTCCTGTTTTTTCTTTCATGAGATATTTGTGTGTTAATTTATATATATATATTTTTAACATGATAATTAATTTCAAGGGCATCTTAGAAGTTCAAAATATGTATGTTAATAAATCTATAATTTATTAGCCTTGAAGCCATTTTGTGGGTTTTTTAAAAAATAATTTGTCAGCTTTGAAATTGATTATCCTTCGAAGCATGAGGAGGTAAAAAAAGAGAGGGAGAAGCCGGGAAAGGAATTGTTTAAATTTTCAAAATCGTCTTAAGAAGTGATTTATTTGAAACCTAGCAGCTATACATTACATATACAATCCATACTTGATTAATTTTTCAATTGTTTCCCATTGCATTATTGAAGACGTATATGGGGCCTCCCATCCCATTAGCCGAGTAGCGCTCATTAGTCAATAACGGTGAAAGTTATATTTTATATTATTTTTCATCGTAAAATTTAAATCAGAAACATCCATTCAATTCAGGAATATAAATTGAACAACTAAATTACACACATCTAAAAAATTATTACACGAGTCTAATTTCTCTCGAATTTTATTGTTTTTTTAGAATTAATCTATCTCTAACTATTACCCCTTTTAGAAATTTCAATTTTTGACAAAATTAACCTAAATTTTGCATATACATTGAAAAATATCCAATATATTTTTTAAAAAAACTTAGAATTTTTCAAAAACAAAATTATATTGTTTTATTTTTTAATACTGTTAATATAAAGAATAAAAAATAACTCTGAATTATTACAAATTTTTTGAAAAATTTCAGATAAATTTTACTTCATGATTTTTATCATTAAACTATATATGTAACTATTATTTATGCCATAAGACTAAAATATAAATTAAATCTAAAAAAATTCAAAAGAAGTCAAATCAGAAATTAGAAGTTTAGAAACTAATTTTTAAATAGATTAAAATTCATAAAAGGTTTACTTGTTTAACTTAAAAAAAATTATGAATACACACCAAAAACTCATTGAAGACTAAAATCTACGTTTTCTTTTTCCAAACCAAACCTAGTGCTCAGGAGTCAAGAACGGCGCGCGTGCATGTGAACGTGCATTCCATCCATCGTCGCTGTCTCCGAATTTTGTAGGCAAAAATTAAGCGACAGCATAGCTACATATGAGCAAATTTCTGACACAAAAATAATTCCTGGCAGAGATCATGACTTTATTAAAAATGGCTGGATGAAAACGAAAGGGGACATTATTTGCATGATTGTATTAGTGCGCGTACAAAGCTGAAGAGGAATATATATTGCGGTTTTGCGTAGAGAGGAGGGGTATCGCTTTACGTGTTGATAGCTAGCAATGACAGATGCAGAATCAAATATCCACTAAAGTTAAAATAAATATTTATAAATTTATCATGATTTATATAAACTTATATATATTATATAAATAATATATCAATGTATATTTTAAAATAATCTTAAAATACAATCACTTAAAATATAGATATTCGTTCTTTCAAGTTATGAAAATTATTAAAAAGTGATTCAATACTAAAATTTTCGACAATTTCTTTTTCAATATACATCAACAAACAATCGAAAGAAAGTCATCTTTCATGTTGTTACGAAACTTAGTATTGACTATGCTCATAGCTGAAAATGACCGCTCCGTAGTAGCTGAAAAAACTGAAATAGTAAGAATAAATGTTATTGCTTTATACATTTTCAAATTTTTTTGTCTTCAAATACACATTATAATTATCATTCAAGTACATTGGAAAACAATTCTACTACCTTGGAGATATT